TCTTCTCAACCAAATCAAGATCAACTATCCTTCAAATCCGAAAGAATCAAACGAGCAAAACTCAAGAAGAGAGTGGGTAGGTTAATGTTTTACGACAAAATTACATTTTTAGTCCTGTTGGTTTAACGCCATAGCAATTTTATTCCAAAAGTTCTGACATTCCCCCTTTTTGGTCCTGTGATTTAATATTTTGCTGCAATTTCGGTCCTTTAAGGATTGAAATTGACACAAATTCCCAGATTTTCAATTAGCAATTCACATTCAAGTCCTGTAATTTAAAATTTTGTTGCAATTTCGGTCCTGTAATTTAAAACTATAATGCAATTTAAATCCTCAAAATATTAAATCACAGACGAAAAAGGTGAAAAGTTGGAAAATTAGGACTAAAATTACTGTGGCCGTTAAACCAAGAGGACTAAAAATGCATTTTTGCCATATTTTTACCTCTCTTTGCCTACGGCGTTGCAAGATATTGATGGCCCAGATCATGATGTAGCAAGGCAAAAGAAAACCAACGGCTCGTAGCAAGAACAGCTGCATTTTTTTTTTTTTTTCACATTTTAGTACTCAGGGACAATTAACTCAATGAACATAAATCTACTACGAATATACAAAAAATTGTTGATTTACTTACAGAGAAGAAAGTCGATGCATCGTCATCTTCCCTGTCCCCATCACCAGTGATGGAAAGTGCATGTCTCAGTAGCAAAAGAGCCATCAGCTGCATATTTTACATTACATTTTAATAATATTACAAAAGTATGAGAACAAGCATTTAAAAAGAGCATGATTTTTTCTTATATGGAGCTTTTTTACTGAACATTTTACTTAAAAAGAAAAAAAAAAGCTGTAATAATGAAATGGGAAGGCTTACAATAAGAGCAGCCGAACGGCAAAAGGCAGTGCCACTTGTGTTACCGTTAAATTCATCATAATCGGCTTCAAATAGCTCTCGTTCAGCCTCGGCAAGTGCCACAAGCCTAGGTTCGTGCATATGCACTTGGCCTCCCGATATTTGCCACACTCCCCTGAAAAAAATATAAAAAAATGATTCTAACATTTAAAAGAAAGAAAAAGGAAAAGAAATAAGAATTAAAGAAAAAATAAAATCCAAGACTAACCCGAAATCGATATTAGTCTCGTCAGATGGGGGTCGAGGAGGGGCCGTATAATT